AGGCGGGCTGGTTGGGTTTTGATGGAGGGTGATGGGGAAGGTGTTTGGACGGTGTCGAAGGGCAGTGACGAACGGGAGGGAGCTGGGTTTAGGCGTTGGGGGAGGGGGCTCTCGTTCAGTAGGGTTCTTCTTCTTCTTTTGAAGAAGAAGATGTACAGTACCCCTTTTTCCAAAATTTCCAAAATCTCCTCCTCGTTCCTTTGGCCTTTCCCGTGTTTTTGTAAAACAATGCCCATAAAAATGAGCCCCACGCGTGGTGGGGTTCAAGGCATATGTCCCCCACGCGTGGTGGGGTTCCCCACGTGTCCTGGACACGGTTTATTATGGGCTAGGTCCGAAAATTAGGCCTAAAACCGGGTAGTTTGAACCCGAATATTATTTTTTGCCCGGACCCGAGAAATAAGAACACGACGTTGCTTAACTAGTCCTATATAAGCAAAATAACTACCAAAAATAAGACTAGTATTTAACAAAACTATATCTTTTTAAATATTTTTTTAAGGATTTAAAATAGCTACAAAATATTAATAAAACTATTTTTGTAATTTTCGTTTTTAAATATTAAGATAAAATATGAGGTAATATTTTTGTATTTTTTCCAAATTAAAATGACTACAAAACTTTAATAGAATTATATTTTTTTGTAATTTTCGAAATTATATAAAGTACAGAAATAAAGTGCAATTTTTTGATTTTTTCAAGTTTATGAGGGATACATAAACTAAAATTTATATATATATTTTTTGTAATTTTTTCTTTTGCGAGAAAAAAAAATTAGTCAAAATAGCTATATTAGTCCTAAATTAAATATTTTAAGCTAAGAACGTAAAAATTCCCGGGGAGGGTCAAAAATCACGTGCTTACACCTTACGTGAATTCATATTTCTCAATCTTTATTTATGATTATTACTCACTGAGTTGGAGTACTCACTTTACTCCCTGCACCCTGTATGCAGATTCAGGCGCTGCTGATCTTGCTTGCGAGGGTTGAGAGCTCCTAGCAGATTTTGGAGTTCACGAGGTAGCTACTCGGCGTCTGCAGCCCCGTGCTTCTCCCCCTTTATCTCATTTCCTTTCTCTTGTTAGTGATTCTATAATATCTTTGTAGACGCTTCAAACTTGTAGTATATTGATAGATGCTCATGACTAGTGACACCCCGATGCCGGGCTGTGTTGGTTTTATCTTCCGCAACTATATTATTTCACCTTATATATTTGGGATATTTATTATGTTTAAGACTTACTTGCAATATCTTAACTGCTTAAAAATGAATTGGGAATGTGTCGTCTGGCCTTGTCTTCACGAGAGGCGCCATCACGACCGGGTTCGAGTTTAGGGTTGTGATACTAGTTCTATCGATCTGGTCGTGCTTACCACTTTCTTGCATTTAAAAGAGGATCTTACCTGCTTCCCCCTTGCACAAGTCTCACAAACTTTGTCTTCCTTAAACTTGATGTTAGGTAACCCTGTCACCAGGTCCTTGGAGACTAGTTTGTTGAGTTGACTCAGACTTGCATGTCCAAGTCTCTTGTGCCAAAGGAGAGGATCATTGTCCAACACACTTAAGCAAGTGAGTTCATTTTCTGAAAGAGTGGACAGATCAACAATGTATATATTACTTACTCTTTTTCCCTGCAAAATAATCTTGTCAGTGGTAAGATTTATCACAAAGCATTTGGTAGAAGTGAATGCTACCAAGTTACCTCTGTCACACAGTTGTGATACACTGATTATGCTGTATTTCAAGCCATCTATTAAGTAGACATTCTCAATGGAGTGTGAGTCTATCTTATCTACCTTTCCAACCCCAATGATCTCACCTTTCTTACCATTTCTAATGGAGACATTACCTCCTTTGAGGTTCTCAAGTGAAAGGAACTGGTTCTTGCTTCCTGTCATATGCTTTGAGCAGCCACTATCCATGTACTATATTTGGCTGCTCCTCTTCACTTGGACCTGCAAAAGGAAATCAGGGGTTAGTCTTAGGAACCCAAACTAGTTTGGGTCCCTTTCTATAGGCAAAATGGTGAATTAAATTCTTTTTAACCCATTCTGGCAGCCTATTTTCCCTTGAACAAATGTTTTGTTCTTTTGGCTAGCTTTTTCTTTTGCAGTACATTTGCTTTTGTAGTGACTAGTCTTACCACAGTGTGTGCAGATTTTGTTCCCAGGAAGTGTGACATACTTGCTTTTGGGATCCCACTTAGGTGTAGGATTCCCCTAGCCAAGTCCTCTCTTATTGCTACTATGGTGTTCTTGTAGCCATAAAAGTGCGTCAGAGGAATTATTCCATTTACAGGTTCTGTCTAGCTCATGCTTACCTTTCTTAGATCCTCCTTTAGGACTCTTATCTGCTCATCTCTTTTGTACAACTCATCTTTCATTTTTTCTAGATTTTCTTCTAAGGTGAGATGTGTGTGATTAGCTTTCTTTTTACCTGTTCCTAATTTCAGTTTTAAATTTTTAGATCTAAGCTCTAGCACAGTGGTGTCAAGTTCAAGAACCTGGTTCTTTAACTCAGCATTTTTTCTATGACTTTCACTAGCCCTAAGTTTCAGATTTTTGCACTTAGCTTTTTCATTATTTATGACCTCAGATTCATCAATGAAATCTAGAAGTAACTCATATAGACTTTCTTTAGACAAAAACTTAATCCTGTCTTTGAGATGAATTATACTTACCTCAGATTCCTCATCAGATTATCCAATGGCCATAAGTGTTTGTTCATCTCCATCTTCATCTTTTGAATATTCATCTGAACTTTCTCCCCAGGCAGCAACCATAGCCTTTATTGATCCTTTGTTCTTCTTGGGATGAACCTATTCTTTCTTCCTGTTTCTTCGTTCAGACCTTTCCTTCTTCCATTCAATTTCTCATTGAGGGCAGTTTTTGATGTGATGATCAGTCTTCCAACACTTGTAGCAGCCCTCGTTGGTCTGTTTTTCAGGAACCCTTGGTTTGTTTTAGCTTTCACCTCTTGAGGAATCCTTTCATATCATTAGATACTTTTTGAAGTCTTTTACGATCATAGCCATTTCATCCTCTTCTAGATTAGCACCTTCAGTGATTCTGAGCGCCAGACTTCTTTCCTTCTTGGGTACATCCATCTTCATAGTTTGCCTTCTAAGTTCATAGGCAATAAGATTTCTAATTAGCTCCCCCAAATTAAGAGTGGCAATGTTCTTCGATTCCTGAATGGTAGCGATTTTGCTTTCCCAGGTGACTGGCAGAACCCTTGTCAAAATTTTCTCAACTTTGTCCTCTTCAAGAATTACCCTTCCAAGAGACTTATGTTCATTTGTTAGAGTGGTGAATCTTGTATACATCTCTTGGATGGTTTCGCCTTCCTTCATGGTAAAATTCTCATATTGAGAATACATCACTGTTCCTCTTGACCTCTTCACTTGAGGAGTTCCTTCACGAGCCACTTGTAAAGTGTCCCAGATTTCCTTAGCAGCAGTACAACTTTAAATTCTACTATACTCGTCTGGACCAAGTCCACACACAACCCATTTCTTGGCCTTAACATTCTTTTCTCATTTCCTCAAGTCCTCAGTAGTGTAGTCAGCTCTTATTTTTGGCACTTCTACTCCTTCAGCAGTCTTCTTCATGGTAGCTAGGGGACCATCAGTAACAATGTCTCATAGCTCATAGTCTTCTCGGATGATGTGATCTCTCATCCTGTTTTTCTACCATGAGTAGTACTGGCCATTAAAGAGTGGAGGCCTAGTAGTGGATTGCCCTTCCCAGTTTTCAGGTGGTGCACTCATCTTGATCTTTTCCTAAGGTGTTAACCTCTTCAATGATAACCCGCTCTGGTACCAATTGTTGTTTTACACTTCAATACCACACAAGATGGGGAGGGGGATGATTTGTGTGGTGACCTATTTTTCGCTTAAACTGATTATGGAAGGATCTGGTTCTTCTAAGTGTTCCTTAACCTACTATTGCAGAAATAGTAAATGCGGAAAGTAAAGAACACAAGTATTTTACGTAAAAAATACCTGGCTCAAAAGGTGAAAAAACCACGACCACTTCCCAGTAGGATTTTCCCAAACTCTTCACTAAATCACTAAGCCAAAAACTGCATTTACAAAATACTTTTGTAAACCTAGGACTAACTCTAATCCCATTGTGGCATACAACCTCTAGCTGCTGCGACAACTTCAAGTTAACTCTAACTTGAAAACTCTGAGTACCTATTGCAATTGCCTATAAATAAAGCTAAAAGGTACAATATGAAAACACCTACTATAATTGAACTAGAATAAAAGACAGACACTTGGAACTGGTTCTTCTATCTGGTTCATGTAGCTTCAGGTTTGCACACTTGAATCACACACGAATTGCTTGCAAAATTGCCTTGCTATTTTGCTCTCAATTCACGTTTAACTTCTGCTTATGTGCGTACATGTAAAATGAGAACATTCTGCCATATATAGAGTTAGTAGATGAAGAAATAATTAAAATTCTAATGCTACTCTTCCTTGGTGGAAGAGTTCTAATTAATCTCAACTACTAAATCCTTCCTTGTCTTGGATAATGTTATCTTTGAGTAAGGAGTCCTTCTCCTTATCATTTATGCAATCTTTTGGCAGAATATCCATTCTGCCAGAATACATTTACCCCCTGCATGTGCATCTCACGTGCCTTGAGTCTGACTGTGTCTATGTCTACCAGTAATAGACCTGGTTAATTTCTGAGTTCTTTGTCATTCTTCAAAACTATCCTTTTTCTTGGGCCAACACCCTATTAATTCATTTTAATGCTTGGCTGACTTGTCATAGAAAAATTTCTAGAAATGTCATTATAGAATTCAGATTGTATGTTTTTATAATTAAAAAAACATATTAGTATCTTAGAAATATGACATAAATTTTTTTCTTTCTATTTTTTGGTTTAATCATTCATTTCACAACTTGCTTAACTTAAAAGTAATTTGAATTTGGTAGGTAAATAAAAGGGGTTGAAGAACTATGTTGATGAAAGTAGTTTCCTTCCAAAATTTTGAACTAAATAGTCGATACCCTAACAACACACTTCTCGATTAATTAAAATTAGGGTCCACAATCTAATTGGTCCAAAACACCCTAATTCAAGTTGATATGAAATTTGATGGGTTCTAGAGCTCCCTGAGAGAAGCGAAGAACGAAAAATGGGTTCCGTTGCAAAGGTACTCGATTCAAATTCTAGTTACAAATTCAAATTTTACAGATTGTGAAATTCAAACTCTTTGACATGCAAGTTTCAGAAAAGAAGAATTGTAATCTGCAAATATACATGTTCAGGAGATAGATAAACTATAGCAAATAAAAGAGAGAAAATGAACCCATGTCTAGTTTATTATACTAAGATAAAGTCATTAAGGATCAACAATTAAAAAATACTGGGCAGAAAGCTGGCTATTAGATGAAGAACTAATACTTTAAATAGAAACAGATCAACTAATCGATAAGCTAAGATCAATTAAAAAATTTCAACATTGAATTTTTCTCAAACTTTTGCTTTCCTTTGTGATGCCCACAAATATAAAAACCAGTGCCTCAGTGGAAGTTAGCAGTGGAATATGTATAATTTTGAGATTTACTTGCATTGAATTAGTCTTAACACCTTTACAAACATAAAGGTACGTAATTTCTAAAATGTAGATTAATTAATTAATAGTGTGTGGAATCATGTGATCCACTGAAAGATATCATTAGCAAATGAAGCTTTTTTCAGGGTGAAAGGGCAAACACAATGACCAATAGTTTGGGTTGTTGACTTCTTGTGCGCCCACAAAAATTAGGGTGCTTTCTACTGTGAGAACCTTCTATTTTTCCATTATTGGTTGATCATTTGGTCCTTGCACTTGGGTTTCTTCACTTTGATGCTGGCTGGGTACATAGATTCACTGAAAGAATGTAGACCAGGAAAACAACTCTGAGTAGTCTTAGGATAGCTGCTTTCAGGGTGTCATTTGGTATATATTCTTACTCTATGTGCTACATTCCAGCTTTTATTGCGTTAACTTTTATAAAGGACATGATAATCCCCTACATTTTTCAGGGCCATTTCATGTTTTCCTTAAAAAATTATGCCAGTTGTCAGTTAATTCCTTTTAATGTGAGCATCTGCCTAAGATGAAGACTTATATGAGTACTCTCCTGTAGTAAACTGAGATTGATCTTGCAGAAGTAACAGTACAACAAGATACCAAAAAGATTTCACAGAGTTGGTTGATCAATAAAATTATTTGTCTTATCAAAAGAATTTCTCAGAGTTGGTTCTAGTTATAAATTTAATCTGTCTGCAGTAGCCTGGTCGAAGAAATTGCACTAGTCGTGATATATTGGCATCAATAAGAGATTTTTGAAGAACTTACAGTTTCATCAAGCAATGTTTTAAGTTTTTATTTTTATTTTTAACGGACTTGGAAAAGGAGTTGAAACTTTTGTGATAATTTTTGGAGGGGAGGGAAATTGCTGTTTATTCAAATCAATCAACATGCCTTAACCAAAAAGTAGTTGAGATTGTGTTCTGGTTACTTTCCTTAATTGATTAGTTCTGCATCTTTTGTCTAATGGGAGTGGTTAGCTCTTGTTGGACAATTATGGCCTTTTAGCCATCATTTCCTCTAAGTTTATAGCCCTCACTATGGATATCACTTGTAAACTAGGCTTCCTCATCAATAAAATTACTCTACATTACTTTAAAAAAGAAATCTCTATATTCAACCATTTCTGAAATGATGGGTCGCTCTAGGTGATCACAGCTATATCAGTAATCATAATGGACGTTGCCAATGGATTTCGCATCTTTTTTCCCCTTTTTCATTTGTGACGTGTTAATGAGCAAAAAGACCATGCAATTGTCTGTTGCTTTGTCCTGTCAGTATTCTGTGTTAAGCATATGGTCGATTTTTACTTTGTGGTTGTGGTTCTGGAACAAGCTTGCAGCCAGCCTCCTCGCCGTCCGCCGTGCCTGCACCCTCCAGAACTGAAGTGCATGCCTTATTTGTTCCTTTAATGAGGTCTGGATGATCTTTTGAACTGCCTTGATGTTAACAGATTCTGTTGAGACTTATGAGAAGGAGTCCATGTGATATCTCTACCACGTTGTCCGCTAATGAGCCTTTCTTGTCCATAGTGTCCGCTAATGAGCCTTTCTTGTCCATAGTGTCCACTAATGAGCCTTTTGTGGTAAGCAATTACTTACAAGGTATTAGTTTTGCAGTGTGCTTGTGTCTCTTAAGCATTTATTGTGGACTGACTTGACTACTTTGTCAATGATTATGGTTGTATGGCCATAGTGGGTTCTTTCAAAGGAATTTCGCTTCCCATACATATTACTGTATAATAACTTGCATGTATAGTGTCATATCGAGTTGCAAGCTTTGCTAATGTCTTCCAATCACTGCAGGATGCCAGGGAGGAAGTCATACAGGCATGGGACATGGATGATAGCAACGAGGACCAGAGGCTTCCCCAGAGTGAGCCGAATGAATTTGTGTCACTTGACAAACTTGCCCGTATAATTCCCCACGATTATCCTTATTCGAGCAATTTCATGTTTTCTAGTGGGCCCGTTTGGCTGTTTATTTCTTTCCTTCAAAGAACTTCCTTGAGTTACTCTAAATAAGAATCTGATCCTCTTAATCTTGGTTATATTGAAAGAGTACTACCTTTTTTCGTTATTTCTGACATCAGCTATCAGTATATGGAATTTTTGGATATTAGATTGGAGAATTTTCTTTTGATTTGTTTTAGCAATCCAATTCTAATGGGATTTACTATCTCGTTTCTCAACTCCTATCATGCCTGAATCATACGAACAAAGAAGTCAACGAACCCTTCGTCCTTTATTGATGATTCCCTCGTAATTTAGAGGTCGTAGATCTTCCAAGTTTAGTCCTGGATTTTAACATACTTTTCTGCTTCCCTTATTGAACTACTACATGAAACTTTCAGAGCTTGGACTGCTCAGCTGGTGACTAGATGCTGACAATTATGAAACTGATGAAGAGTTGACGAAAATTCGAGAGGTTTGCTGATATTCTTACAGCTGACAATGATGAAACTGATGAAGAGTTGACGAAAATTCGAGAGGCTCGCTGATATTCTTACATGGTATGTCCAAGTTATTAAAATGAATCAACGAATTTCCTTCAGGACTTTTGTGAGGTTTGCCCTGAAAATTTACCCAATTATGAGGAGAAGATTAAGAACTTTTACGAAGAGCACTTGCACACTGATGAGGAGATCCGTTACTGTGTTGCTGGAAGTGGTCAGTGTAGGATTTATTGGATGGGCTTTGCATCGCTATCTGCCAACTATTATATGGTTGCTAAAATATATATACTTTGTCTTGTAATGTTATTTTGATGTGAGGGATCGTAATGAGGGTTGGATTCCCATGTGGGTAAAGAAAGGGGCGATGATTATCCTCCCTGCTGGAATTTATCACCAGTTCACACTTGATTCAAGCAATTACATTAAGGTACTTAAGAGAAGCATGAGCCTAAATTGAAGATTAAAGAGTAAGACTGCGTGCTCTTTTCACACCGTCCTTGCTTTTCTGTGTCGCTGCCTTTCTCTAAAAACATGATAAAGTATTTGGCAACTATGTGTTGCTTCTTCAGTTCGGTCATTATTTTGTGATATATCAATTACAATATGTGGTTCTTGTAGGCATTCCGGCTCTTTGTTGGAGATCCAGTTTGGACCCCATACAACCGTCCACATGATCACTTGCCTGCCAGGTCTGTTTCGGGACGTCTGTTATTTTACTTTTTTCCTATTGATTTATAGAAACAGTTTGGCGCTTGGAACCTAAATAGAAGATAATTGTGCAGGAAGCAATATGTTGAGACTTTTGGGCAGATGGATGGAGCTGGTCATGCAGTTAATAATGCAGCTGCCTAAATCTACTTGAAAATTGAAGAACTTAAGCCGTTTGGGCTGTGGTAAATACAGTTGTATCGTGGTTGATAGTGTATGCCCTTCTTAGCTTGTTTCAGTTTGTTTCCAATGCGGTGTCGATGAAATTCCATGAGTGCAACTTTGGGTTTCCAGTCTATTCTGTGAATCAATACAATACTTGTGCTTGGCTTGTGGACCCTTGACTCATAAACCCAAGTCATTCCCCAAATTTTGGTAGTTGGATGACGAGAAAATTAAGAACTGATCCTTGTCCGAATTTGCTACCTTTCCTAGCTCCTTTTGCGGAATCCTCCCTCCATCCACAGTAGAGTTCAAAATAACAATATTTTTTTCTTTCTAATTTTGGTGCCTAGTTTTATCTACTCCTTTTCCAATCACCATGAAGACCATTGTTATGACGGAAAATATTTCCAAAAGATAATTATCTGAGAATAAGTTATTTTCTCATGTTTGATTGTCGGAAAATATATTCTACTATATGAAGGAAAATGGTTTCTCTCGCTTTTGGGTGGAAGTCATTTTTCTTTACAATGACAACTATAACTCTTAACTCCATATAACAATTCTAACCAACACTAAGATATAATTATAACGTAATACTAAAAAATATGTAATCAAAATAACTACTCGATTTGTTAACATTATAATCAAACTTTAGTAAATACTTGAACCAAACACTGAAAAATATTTATATTTCGAAAAATTAAACTTATTTTTCAGAATTCTTTTTCTAATCATACCAGTATGTTGATAACCCAGTTATATACTTTCAATAAGCGGACATACCTAATGCTAACTATTTGCTGGAATTCTCAAAGTTAATAGTTCGTTCAAAATTCACTGGGTGTGCATCATACAAATCAAAGTTTTACCCGATAATGAAACTACCAACAGTCTAGTTAAGTTAGGGCATAAAGGTATATGGACAGTTAGCTGGAGCTGAAAATTGATTTAATTTGCAAATTCTCACATTCAAGCTTGCTTGGCACAGCAATGCACACAAATTCATGCATTAAGCTGGGAATCTGCCACTAGAAAATACAATCAAATTGTATAGATATTTAAATAGTGGTATGCTAAATTGTTTTGATATTACTAGCTGATTAGATGAAGAGTATTAGGGTGAACAGTTAGTAGGCAGCCACACATTTTTATTTTCTTTCTCAGATCCATGTTAGCATGGTATTTCTTTATTCTTGGATTGATGATACTAGCTACTGTTTGACTGTATTCTTTCACTTTACTTTTCTTAATAATACCTTGTTGTTACCACGTGTTACCACTAATTCTTTTCATTTTGTCTTTAACCGAGGGTCTATCAGAAATAGTTTTTCTGTCCCTCCAAGGTAGGGGTAAGGTCTGAATATACACTATTTTTTCCGGACCTTACTTGTGGGAATTTACTGAATTTGTTGTTGTTGTTGAGTATGTTAATTTTATTTTGAAAGTTATATAAGTAAAAGTGAAATTTCTATAAGATAGATGCATACTCGTTAGGGCATAGGGGCTCGATGAAAGACAAAAAAGATGGTAAATGAATGGAGCATTAGCAGTTATTTGAGACAATGAGTCGTGCGAAAGCGTCCAATGGCCAACAGTTTTTTCCTTAGTGCTGCCATTAGACGTTAGAAAATTGACATTTGACAACACCACGTTTCAAACTCTAATGTTTACTTTTGTTGAGTTCTCGTTAGATTTTGTGGAAATATTAGCATTCTTTTAGTGGGACTGGGATCTCTGCTTGCTGACCAGGCATCACGAACCTTCATTATAGTATTACTATTGTTATTTTAAATTTAAGTATCACTGTTCTGATTGATTATTCTAAACACTTTTTAGCTTTTCTTTCGGTGCGGTGATGGTGTAACACGTGTCTTGAGATAGGGTACTTCCTCTGGCTTTCCAAATAAATCGATTTCTTTTTTGTTATGCCTATTAAAAGATTTTTTTATTCACGAGACTCGATCCTGAAACTTTTAATATAAAAGTGAAGAGCTCTAAATTATCTCATCATACTCTGGATGACTAATACTTACTATTAGTCCTGCTCTCCCTGGTACTTTCTGGTTCAATTCATTAACATTATTACACTTTTGATTATCATTTGTTTGACCTGCCCCTCGGCTTTTGTCGTTTTTGGACTACAATTGATCAATACTCCTTTTTGCCCATTTTTACTGTTTGTATAAAGCAAGAAAGAAATAGTATATGGATAGCTTCATAATCATGCCAACTTGGATTTTGTTCACATTGCGTGCCATGAGATACTCTTAAGAAGTAAAAAGAACAAGGTAGTTGGGTGAAGTGTTTTTCTTTATTCACATATGATCAAATATATATACACAAGAATACAAATCAATCAGGCCTAACTTTCAGATCAAGATATCTTGATCCCCAATTAATGGGATTTTCTTTATATCTATGGAAAGTAAATATACAATAATAAATGATAAGATATGTATTCTTCAACACTCTCCCTCAAGTTGGAGAGTGAATATCATGAAGTCCCAACTTGTTGCGCAATGTCACAAATTGATCTTTTCCCAAAGACTTAGTAAAGATATCTGCTAATTGAAAACGCGTAGGAACTGTCATGGGCTGCTTTCCAGACACGCCCCATGACCCCTTGGCCGCGCCCCATGGCGGCCTAGCAAGCCTCACAATGCCTAGCGCCATGGTCGGCCCCGTGGTCTTGGCTGCGCCAAGTGACAAGCGCGCAT